ATAGGGGGAGAGTGGGTTGGAAAGGGGGAACCGATTACAAGGATCTACATATAACCTCCTCCCTGGAGGTTGGACAACAGGAAAGTGGGTGGAGACAGCGGACAGTGTAAGATATGACAAAATAATAATTTATAAATTATCAAGGGTTCATGAGGGATGGGGGAGGCGGGAAGGGGATAAAAATAAGGAGTTGATGCCAGGGGCTTAAGTGGAGAGCAAATGTTTTGAGAATGATGAGGTCAATGAGCGTACAAATGTGCTCTACACAATTGATGTATGTATGGATTCTGATAAAGAGTTGTATGAGCCACTAATAAAATGATTAAAAAAAAAAGGGAAAGAAATCAGTCAAAAACAAGGGCAATAGGGAGGCATAACAGGAGAGTTAGTGTGAAAGCATTGAGTATCTGTAGTGATGAAAAATTTGGCAAGGGATACTGATAATAGTTGTAAACATGATCACTGTCCTTGGTATCCCTGAAACGTACTGTTTAAAAATGTTTTGAATTGGCAAATGTTTTATTATTCGGGCAGTCCCCAACTTACAGTGGGGTTCCCTTCTGGTGGCTCTGAAGTAAGTTAGATACCAGCCCCCCACCCTCATTTTTCATTATTACTGCCTTTATTATCAGTAATTTTATAAACCTGATCTTTATTTGCCCTTGGAAGTTCATATGAAACTGATAATTAGCTGCAAAATTTATGCAATACATATTGATAATGATAAGATGTACAAAAAAAAAAAACCCCACAAAAACAACAGTGAATGGTAGGTGCAATTTATTACGAGTTGACTACACTGGGGACTGCCTATATCTAGTCGTGTGTGTGCGTGCGTGTGTGTGTGTGTGTGTGTGTGTGTGTGTGTAACTTACAATACAAAGTAGAAAAATCTATACTCTTGAATAACAGCATTGATGAGGAAGAGAGCACAGACCTCGTTTTGAAACAGAAGCCCATAATGTTCTAGGACATGCCTAACAAACAAACAAACAAACAGAACGCACTGCTATCTGATTCATGGGGACTCAGTAGCACAGAGATGTAGCACTGCCCCTATGAGGTTCCTGTTTGTGGAAGTAGAAAGCCTCATCTTTCTCCTGCAGAGCAGCGGGTGGTTTCAAACTGCTGGTCTTACAGTTAGCAACACATATCCCACATGCCACCAGGGCTCCTCCACATTACTACAGTAGTGCACCCTACAGCCAGTTCCGATTTCCTCACCAGGCCGCCTCTTTGTTATTCAAAGAATGAGTTCCACATTAATAAGACTCAAGTCCCTCTGCAGGCTGGGGCCCTTCACAATTATATCAACATTTTCTGAAATAGTCTTCATTCTTGAAATCGATGAGGCAAAGAGAGCTGTTACGCATTCCTTTTAGATTGTGCGTATCGTGAACGGACAGAGTAGCTTACCTTCTACTAAGATCTGCAACATGCTCTTGAAGCCAACTTGTACTAGCAGCTTTAAAAAGAAAATATTTAAATTATAGAATGCACACAAAAGAAAGCACCACCAGATTTAATTCTAAAATAAGTTGGGCAGTAACATGTAATTCAAATATAAACATTTTTCCTTTTATATTCCCTTAAGATAGTAAGATAGAAGCCACTTTAACTATTATATACAGTTGGCTTAAAGGAAGCAATTAATTTACATGTCATTGTTTACTACTAGCACAGTTTTTAAGGTCTCCAATATCGTAAAGTAGAGCTTACCAACCTCAGTACCGATTGGGACACTGAGGATGGGTCATAGGTATCCCAATTGCTCATTCCCTCAGGTCTAGAAAGGCCAGGTGGGGACCTCATGTACATCTAAAGATGCCTACATTTTCAGGGCCTGATCAAGTACCTTCCAGATTCAAGCACTTTGTTCTATTTATTTTAGGGTAGCACAGAAACATTCACTTTTTGATGTGATGCCTTACACAAATGCAGACTAGTAGAGCAGCAAAGAGCAGATACCTGGCTTCGAATCTCAGCTATATCCACAACTAGATGTATGACATAAAATAATTACTTTAATATGCTGTGATGGAGTATCCATGGCTGAGGAGCCTTGGGGGGCAGTGGTTATACACTGGCCTGTTAACTGCAAAGGTCAGCATTTCGAAACCATCTGCTACTACAAGGGGCTTCTACTTCTGTAAAGAGTTAGTCTCAGAAACCCAAGGGGCTGTTCTACCCTGCCCTATATGGCCGCTAAGAGTCGGCACTGACATGACAGCAATACGTTTGAGTTTATTCATGCTGACCCAGAAAAAGTGCTCAATAAAGTGCTCAAATTATCACCAATATCACACATCTTGATGTTTCTGGAACTTTCATTTCCAGTGAATGAATATGAAAACTAGGTAACCCTTTGAGAAGTACGTTTGGCAAATACATTAAGTTCACAATTCCTTCTCTAGAAATTTATGCTAAAGAAAAAGTTGGAAATGTAAAAATTTATTGTTATATGAAGAAGTTGACTGCAGCATTAATTATCAGAGGAAAAGTTGGAAACACATGTAAAAGAAAAGACTTTTAAAAATATTCATGTTAGAATATTATATAAACATTCAAAAACCATTTAGTCAGAGTATTTAATGAGAAACTACTCATACATGTTAACTGAAAAAGTCAGATATAAAACTGCAAATACATAAAGTACATAAAAATAAAGAATAGAGGCACAGATCAAAAAGAGAAAGAAATTTTTTTAGATATTATACATATGAGTTTTTAAAAGTCCATGGGGAAACTGTATGAAAACATCATGGATCTTTGTAGGGCTTTTTGAAGCTCCCTCGTAGCATGAGTAGTAAAAGTCCTAGTATCCCTATCCTTGTTTCTTTCTAATCTCTATAGAAATATTGTTTCTAAATCTCTATAGGTGTTTCAATGTTCTAGAGTGAGCGTTGTATTATTTTTGTTTAATTTGCAAAATTTTTTTTGTTATTTTTTTAATTTGGTCATCTCAAACAATCATTATTAAATTTTCTAGTTCATTCAGTAATTCCTAAACTCTAGCTCACACAAATACAACTCATACCTGCGCACACTCAGGAAGCTGTGTCAGCTTGAATGGCATTTCAGAGAACTTACTGTCTAGTGCTCTAGTGAGACCAAGACCCTCGCCTCTCTGTACTGCTCTTTGCTTCAAAGCACAAGCACGTGGCCTGCTTTTGTTTTGCTACCTCATTTCTGCAGCAATTAGTAGTTAATACTTTGTGAGCTAATGGGATTTCAAAACACTGAAATTATTGAAAAATGCCAGTAATTTAGATCCCTGGTGTGAAAATTCTAAATTTTATAAAAACTTAAAAAGAAATGATTATTTTTAAAAAATGTTTTGCTATATTCACCCACCATTGCAAAGAGAAGTTTCTGGAAACTTACTTATTTAGCAGAATATAGTTATTTGCAATTAATACAACTATATTAAATGTACTTATGCTTCTAAAATGCTTGCACTACCTTTTTTTCTTGAGGTAAACTAAACATTAAATGTCATTTACATTATATGATAAGTTGAATTTTTCATCACAGCTAACTCAATATATGTTAACCCCCTACCCGTGTTCAAATTACGTGATTTTAAAGGCTGAATTAATAAACACTTGAGAATCTTTAAGCTACTTTTCTCTCTTCAGAACATACATTTCTCATTAATTAACAAAAGCCAATGTAATAAAAAAAGACATTTTTATGAGCCATTAATTGGATTTTTGATTAATGGTAAATAAAAAACATACCTTCAGAGACATAAGCAAAAGGTTTATTCCGAATAGAAAGCATCGTAAACAGGTTGAAAGAAAGCGCCACAAATGTACCAACTAATAATCTTCCCCTAAAGAGAACAACAATAACAGCGCCTTCAGTTTTTTTCTTGGCAATATCATCGGGTCATTTCTCAAGCTGCATGCAGCGACACCAATCAATAAGAAGGTGGAGTGGTCCGCTTCACAGGTTGGGGATTTGCAAGTCAGGCTCTGAACCTGGTTTCCAGCCCCATAACCCATGTCCTTTCTACTGTTTCTCCATCTGACATAGGACAGAATCACTCTTAGCAGTAACAATACCTTCTTACAAGCAAGATTTTAACAATTTTGTAGAAATCTGACTGGTGCTTGGCTTACAATGCACTGGACAGAACAGACTTTTCAGAATTAAACAGTGCAGAATAGGTAAGGCCAATCTGAATGGCAACTGCATTGTAGACAGCAATTCTACATTTTTTATAGAGGCTACTAAAATATTTTGGGAGTCGAATATTAAATTATAGACCACTACAGGGGCCTCGAAATAATACGGGCATGAAGCCATGTTGGAAAAGTGTAGCACGAAAACATCTGAAGCTTGGATGAAGTTAAGGGTGAAGAGGGAGAGTCTTGGGATTTGAGGATTTTGTTTTTGAAATATCAATGAAAATGTCTTTTGCCACATGCTGAACTCTGATATCAGAGAAAGCAACCAATATATAATAATAAACCATTAATAACTGGGAATCTAAATTAATAGTAAATTATAGATTATGAAAAAAACAAAATCTCACGTGTGAATCTCAGGCTGCTCCAAAAAGCGTTCTGCACTAAAAGAACGAATGTATGTGTTATTAAATAAGCCCTTTGAATTATTAAATTAGAAATCTTTGTTTGGTATGTATATGCAACAGCCCAATTTAAAGCCCGTAAAATCTTTTAATCGTATAATCAACTAGAGATTTTATTAGCAGTGATGAGGCAAACAGACTGAAATTATGCTCAATATGTAACTATTTTTGCAAATATAAGCATGTAAATAATACATATAATGTACATATTACACACAGGAAATTAAAGCCTAACACGGTTATATGCCTTGCAAAAACTGTGTAATCTATGGATTACTTGAATAAAAATACAATTTTGTCAATCTTTATCAAGCCTATTCAAAGAACTTTTAGTAAGTAAAATCATGACTTACTGAATTCTTTTTTTCAATCATTATCTATCTCTGAATGAATTTAGTAGAATTAAAGAAAATAATAAAAGAGTGAAACATGAAGAAACTACATTATCAAAATTCTATCACTGCGTATATCTAATGTGCAAACCCAAACAAACCAGAAATTTCTCTCACTTGATTCTTTCAGATTCCCAAAAGTGTCATATGTGGAATTCAGAACATTAAATTATGCAAATATACCTTTCTTTTAATATAAAAAGGGCTCCCAATTGTGCCAAGACTGTAGAGGCAAATACAGCCAGAACTTCCAATCTCTCAAATCTGAAACCAGAAAAATAAGTCAGCATAATTATTTTAATTGAGAAACCAGTCCTTCTAAAACACATTTACAATCTTTTATTATATCACCAAGTCTATGTATCAGGGAGAAAACAATGTATGCAGGAAGGGGGAGGGAGCACTAGAACTGATTGTGATTACACAACTCACTTGAAAAACAATCTGACCATGAAAAAAAACGTTTTAAAATGTATTGGGGTAATCAGTACATCAGACTTCTTGATATGACTGAACTACTGAATTTGATGATATGTGGTTATGTGCCAATAAAACTGTAAAAAAAAAAAGTCTATGTGCCTACTATGAGTCAGACACAGAACACATTTCTGAACTTCTAAAAGGATAATAAACAGTATGGAGCACAGATTTTAGTTAAGTGCCTACTTGTACGACATATTCTTTTTTAAAAAAATCATTTTATTAGGGGCTCATACAACTCTTACCACAATCCATACACACATCAATTGTGTAAAGCGCATTTGTACATTCATTGCCCTCGTCATTCTCAAAACATTTCCTCTCCACTTAAACCCCCGGCATTAGGTCCTCATTTTTCGTAGGACATATTCTTAAGGCGCACTTACAATTCTGACCTTTCTAGAGAGAATCATCATAGTAACTTAACAATTAAACACCTTGTTTCAGGTACTGATTTAAGTGCTTAGTATTTTATTACTTCATCTAACCCTTGCCACCACTGATAAAGGTTACTTTATTCTGTATTTGAAGGGTAAGAAGTTTAAGACACAGGGGGAAAGTAATGGCCCAGAGCCATGTAGCTAGCAAGCAGGGGTGACCAGTTTTCAAACTCAGGGACTCTTGATCCTAAGCTCATGATTTTGAAGACTTGCTATCTGGTCTCCTATCTCTAAACATAATGGAAGTTATTTAGGAGTAAATCTTTGAATCTCCAGATTATAAACTGGAGGGCGGGGACTACTGCCTCATTCATTTTAGTTTTTCCCACATTACATAGTCTAGGCCTTTGAGTCATGCAGGAAATACTTATGATAATAATATGTGCTTAAAATTTATCAATAACAGAAAACACAATAAATAAATAAGGATGTTTATTGCAGTGCTATTTGCAAAGAGAAAAATTGGAATATACATTATGTGTTCTTAAATATATGATAGAACTATATTTATTTATTGACATGGAAAGAAAAAGTGGCAAAAGTAGACTAAGAGCATTAAGAAAAAAGTATCTAAATGAAACAATGTTGATGGAAATTAATATGTTGGTGTTAAATGCATATAGCACTGCAAAGGTGAAGACAACCTTGAAGAACAAAATAGGGAGGCTTTTTATACCAGACATTAAGGTTTTTCTTAAAGAGACAAGTTAAAAAAAAAAAAAGAGAGACAAGTTAAGACAGGTAACTTAAGAAACACTTTATTTTATTTTAAAGCTATAATAATTAAGGATAGACAAATATACCAAATAGAACCGAAAAAAAGATTCTAGGAATAAACATATGAAGTCAACTATTTTTAAAAGCAGTTAAGGGTAATTTTTAAAAAGTAAATGGTATTATTGAATATTTATATGGAAAGTAAATGTACCTTGGTCCCTATTTCAGACCATGTAAGAAAATGAATTCCATTGGATTAAGAAAACGAATTCCATTGTATTATACATCTAAATGTAAAAGGTCAAACAATTAGACATCTACATGATACCAAAGTAAAATATCTTTGGGAACCTTGGTATAAACCAAGACTTACTCACAAGTGCACAAAAAGTACTAGCCATATAGGAAAAGACTGATAAAAACGAATTCATTAGATTTAAAATACTTTTATCTATTCGAAGATACTCTGGGTGTGCAAGAAGATACAATGTTGTTGGTGTTGTTGCTTGTCAAGAGCTGGTTCAACTCACAGGGGACACTACGTACATTATCATGAAGTCCTGCCCGGTCCTGTGCCATCCTCACAACGGTTATGTTTGGCTCATTGGTGCAGTTACTGTATCAATGCATCTCCTTGAGGGTCTTCCTTTTTTGTGTAGAACATCCACTTTATCAAGCCTGGTGTCCTTTTCCAGAGACTGGTCTCTCCTGATAACATCTCCAAAGTACATGAAACCAAATCTCATCATCCATGCTTCTAAGGAGCATTACAGAGTTGTACACATTTTTTCTTGTAGTCCATATAGCCCACTCAATATTCTTTGCCAGCACAATAATTTAAATGCATGAATTCTTATTCTTCCTTATTCAGTCTGTATTGTCTAGCTTTCATATGCATATTGAGTTGTAATCCATACTGTAGATCGTATTCTTTGATCTTCATCAGCAAGTACTTCAAGTTCTCTCCACTTTCAGCAAGGTTTGCAGCATCTTTATGTCATCTACATATAGAATGTTATTAATGAGCCTTCCTCCAATCCTGATACCATGTTCTTCATGGAGTCCTGTTTCTTGGATTATTTCTGTATATTTTTAATATTTCCCATCTTCCTTCCATCCATTCAACAAGTGCATAGAGAGCATCAGCATTATTTGCTCAGCACACAGATTGAGTATGGTAAGAAGAGAGAACCCTGAAGCACACCTCTCCTGATTTAAACCATTAAGTATGCCCTTGTTTTGGTGGAAGAACTGCCTCTTCACTGTCTATGTCTTCTGAATGAACACAATTAAGCGTTCTGGAATGTATATTCTTCACAATGTTATGCACAATTTGTTATGATTTATACACTCAAATGTCTTTGCAGTCAATAAAACAAAAGTAAACATCTTTCTGCTTATTCTGTTTTCAGCCAAGATGTATTGATCCTTAGCAATGATATCCCTCGTTTTACACCCTCTTCTGAATCCAGCTTTAATTTCTCCATATACTTCTACAACCATTTCTGAGTTATTCTCAACAAAGTTTTACTTAATGTGGTAAGGTTTCTCTGATCCCCAAATCCATCTGCTCTTTTTACCCCTACCACATTCCATCAATCAACTTGTTTCTCTTCAAAGTTAGAATCAGGTTCAGAATGTCTATTTGCCTTCTTGTATCTTATAGTTTTTTGAGAAATTAAGGATGTAGTGATTTATGCATTGGGCTAATTTCAAGGTCAGCCTTTCGAAATTACCAGCCACTACTTAAGAAAAAGATGAAGTTTTCTACTCCTATAAAGCTTTCCAGTCTCAGAAACCTACATGGGGCAAGTCTATGAAAGACTTTTTGTCAAGAGAGAAATTTATATTAAGAACTGGTCCAGCTCAGTCCACTGCAGTCCGTGAGTTAGATGCTAGCTGGCACCCCTCCAGTCTCATGCAACTGCCCGCCAATGAAGCAGGAAGGCAAGGTGAAAAGCTGGAAGATCATAGATGGGCGGGTACCGAAACACATGGATCCAAGTCAGCAGTCCATGTGGGCCTCTGGCCCCAGAGGCGGACATAGAATCCAGGCCACCAGGAAGGAGAAAAGGAGCAAGAGAGAGCTGCATCTCTTATTATAAGACACACCTTTAAGGAGACATCATTAAGCTGTGTTCCGATTGAGAGGCTGAACTTTACCCCTACCTTCACACACGTGCATCAAGTTGACATAAAATCTAATCATCACAGTCCATGAGTTGGAACTGACTCAATGGGAGTGAATTTAGAGTTTGGAGTTGAAAACTGAGATATAATGTCAGAAATGTATGAGATATTCTGTTTTTTATAGAACAAAACAATTAGTATGCCTGGATGGTTAAAGACTCTGAAATCCAAATCATTTGTTATTAAGAAAGTATCATCTATAACATTACTTTTTCTGCATATTTTTATTATTTCCCTCCTTCCTTTCTACATTCTTTCCATCCATTCAACAAGTGTATAGAAAGCCTCAGAATGATAAACACAGTTTAAAAGGTCAAGAATATCACGAGATGCTGAAGGGATCAGTTATCAGGCATCAAAGAACAAAAAATCATATCATTGTGAGTGACGGGGAGTGCAGATTGGGGATCCTAGACCCATCTGTAGACAACTGGACATCCCCTTACAGAAGGGTCACGGGGAGGAGACAAGCCAGTCAGGATGCAGTGTAGCAACGATGAAACATACAACTTTCCTCTAGTTCCTAAATGCTCCCCCCACTCCCCACCCTACCATGATCCGAATTCTACCTTACAAATCTGGCTAGACCAGAGGATGTACACTGGTACAGATAGGAACTGGAAACTCAGGGAATCCAGGACACATGATCCCTTCAGGACCAGAGTTGAGAGTGGCGATACCGGGAGGGTGGGGTAGAAATGAGGAACCAATTACAAGAATCTACATATAACCTCCTCCCTGGGGGATGGACAACAGAAAAGTGGGTGAAGGATGATGCCGGACAGTGTAAGATATGACAAAATAATAATAATTTATAAATTATCAAGGGTTCGTGAAGGAGGGGGGAGTGGGGAGTGAAGGGAAAAAATGAGGAAATGATACCAAGGGCTCAAGTAGAAAGCAAATGTTTTGAGAATGCTGAGGGCAACAAATGTACAAATGTGCTTGACACAATGAATGGATATATGGATTGTGATAAGAGTTGTATGAGCCCTAAATAAAATGATTTAAAAAAAGATATGAAAAAATAATTTATCAGGGGTCACGAGGGTGAGAGGAAGGAGGGAAAAAAGAGGAACTCATAGCAAGGACTCAAATAGTAAAATTTTAGAAAACAATCATGGCAACATATGTAAAAATATACTTAAAACAATTGATGTATGGATTGGTTTTTTTTTTATGTATGGATTGTTATAAGAGTTGTAAGAGCCTCCAATAAAATGATTTTTTAAAAAGGTCAAGAATATAAGAGAGAACATAATAAGGTGCTTGCTAGCAAGAAATTTAGATTTGAATGGGAAGACAGAATAACAAATAATTGACTTGGTGAAATTTGTCAGAAAATTAGAGTAGTCTGCCAGAACAAGGGCAAGTGGGTAACTGTTTCAGGTGGAGTCAGCCAGGCAATGATATCAGAATCTAGTAACATTAATATTTTCATAACGAGAAGGGGCCTTTCTTGCAAAATTCAGGTAAACAGCATTTCCGTGGAGAAAATACCATGTACAGAAGCCCTAGCCTGAGAACATGTGAGTGCTGTTCAATTAACAGGAAGATAGTGTGCTATAAAGCAGAGAGGGGGAGACCAACCGGTTAGAGGCTCATGCGGAGTGCAGTTCATATAAGGGTTTGATAAACTGGGGAGTCAAGATTTTATGACAGAAGCAGCTGGATGATTTTAAGGGAAAGCATGATAGTATACTTTAGGTTTTCTCTTTTCTTTTAAGAAAACATTCTGGATGCTATGGGGAAAATGGACGATAGTGAAGAACAGAACATGGGCACCAGTTAGGGTGCTAGTCATTGGAAGTGGTGAAGGTTGAGACCAGAGGCTGCAGCAACAAAGAAACTATGGAATAGAGCAAAGGGCACAGACCAAAAGTAGAGGCCGAGGCAAGGAGGCCATGAGAAGCACAGAGGAATAGTGCCGAGACTATAGGATCCAAGGCAGAGCGAGGGGTGGGCTCCCTGGCTCACAGGGGCAGAAGCAACTGCACGGCTTAGAGGACTTGGCAGCTGGCTGAGAAGAGGTGCTGCTGTGGATCAATGTCTATACCTTTAATGTTTACTAATACTTACTGGTAGTTAACTTCCCTAATAAACCCCTTAATTGTGCAAACTGTTGTGAGTTCAGTGTGGCCATTGCAATGGATTAGCGAGTGGTTGGTGCTGGGGCAGTGAATTATTTAATGCGGCTCTTCTAGTCAAGGACTCTAGCTCCCCCCAAAGGACCCTTTCCTGCAGAGGTCTGGTAAGAAGGTGGGGGAGATACTGACAGCATTCACCTATGAATAACTGCAAACAGGACTCCCTGAATGCCGTCCTGCTGTGTATAAAACGAGCCCCATGAGGAGGAGGGATGCTCAGTCAAATGAGCCCTGTGAGGAGGGGAGTCAGTCCTCTGGACCGCAGAGCCCTGTATGCTGAACCTCCTGGATACAGAAGGCAGCTATAACATCAGAGCAGCAGGAGCGCAGAACCAGAAGCCAGAACAATTCATGGAGCAATCCACGGAGCAAGTAGGAAGCTGGCTTACAGCAAAGTGGGCCCTCTGGACACTAAATGGGAAATTGGGCTCTTTGACTCACAGAAGTGTAGCTGGGTGCCTTCAGGCTGAGTTTCAGTGGAGTGGAGTGCCTCTGGGCACTTAATTTGGGAAGTCAGGCTTGTTGACTCAAGGAGGGGGAGTTGAGTGCCTTTGAGCTAAGGCTTTCAGGAGTGGGCTGTCAGAGACTTAATTCAGGAAGTTGGGTCTGCTACCCACACAAATGGAGTTGAGTGTCTGTAGGTTGAGGCTTAGTGTAGAGTAGGGTGTCCCTTTGGGCATTTATTAACAGCTCTGAAAGAACTCTGTAGCATGTCCTGATAAACAACTTAACCCTGAATATCTCACAACTTTAAATTTCCGTAAAAACTTTTAATCATGAATTTTGTGTAGTCATTGCAATGAATATTGCCCAGAGAAGTGAAAGAAAGAACCCGAGACCACTCAGTTGGTGTCTGAATAGCGTAAAGAAGGATCAAAGATGGAGGCTTGTCAGACTGCTGCCTTGTGGCAATAGGCCTTAGGCTAGTTAGGAGTTGCATTCTAATCCTGAGAAAAAACCATCATGCTTGGGCCAGTGAAAAAGTGGAAGACAGAGAATTCCGGCAATATGGTGAGTGAGTAACACATACAGAGGGACTGCAGAAATCAGCACCCGAGTCACTAAGAAGGAAATTCCACACTGCTGGGTCTCAGGAGGAGCATCATAAAGATAAGTAGGTACAGATCCACAAGGTTTTGAGGGGCTGGGGGCTTTTGGCTTACCACAGGGGAGGCCAGCGCAGGTTTGACCTTTGCCCCACCACTGTCTCGGCTGGAGCCCGGACCATTTGGAGCCAGGAGCCAGCACAGGGTCTTTATCTCAACACAGCCACAGCTTGCTGCTGCTTCGGGGCAGGGTTTTAACCCCTCTGGGCCCCACAGTTAGGGATTGGGCTCTGCTATATTGTTACTTTTGTTTCTTTCTCTTTTCTCTTTCCCACTACAGTCTAAGGAGGGTTTTTTTGTTTTGTTGTTTCCTTTTGCTCTTCTCTTTTCTCCCACATGCCACTGCCTACCCTCCAGGCCACTCCCCATAGCCTAGGGCATTTACTCCTGTCCTCCACTTGCTTTGTTCTATTAACCTGGCATTCCATGATGCTCCTCACCTTCCCGACATGATTACTGAAGACAAAGCGGGTGAATAAGCAAATGTGGTGAAAAAAGCTGATGGTGCCAGGCTATCAAAAGATATAGCATCTGGGGTCTTAAAGGCTTGAAGATCAACAAGTGGCCACCTACCTGAGAAGCAACAAAGCCCACATGGAAGAAGGACACCAACCTATGTGATCATCAGGTGTTGATAGGATCAGGTATCAGGCATCGAAGAACAAAAAAATCTTATCACTGTGAATCAGGGAGTACAGAGTGGAGACTCAAAGCCTATCTATAGGCAACTGGACATCCCCTTACAAAAGGTTGTGAGGAGGAAACGAGCCAGTCAGGGTGCAGTATAGCACCGATGAAACACACAACTTTGCTCTAGTTCTTTAATGCTTCCTCCCCATGCACTATCATGATCCCAATTCTACCTTACAAATCTGCCCAGACCAGAGGATGTACCCTGGTACAAAAGGCAACTGGAAACATAGGGACTACAGGACAGATAAACCCCTCAGGACCAATGGTGAAAGTAGAGATACCAGGAGGATAAGGGGAAGGTGGGAGAGAAAGGGTAACTGATCACAATGATCTACACATAACCCCTCCCTGGGGGACAGACAACAGAAAAATTGGTGAAGGGAGACATCGGATAATATAAGACATGAAAAAATAATAATTTCTAAATTATTAAGGGTTCGTAAGGGTGGGAGGGTGTGGGAGGGAAGGAGAAAATGAGGAGCTGATACCAAGGGCTCAAGAAGAAAGAAAATGTTTTGAGAATGATGATGGCAACATATGTACAAATGTGCTTGACACAGTGGATGTATGTATGGATTGTGATAAGAGTTATACGAGCCCCCAATAAAATGATTTAAAAAGGAAAAGATGAAGACATTCAATGAGATGGACTGACCAGTGATTTCAACAACAGGCTCAGACATAACAATTGTGAGACTGGCAGAGGACCAGGCCACATCTCCTCCTGTTGTACACAGGGTTGACTGTGAGTCAGAGCCACTCAATGAAGCCTAACAACAGCATAACTATTATTTCGATCATAATACCAAATCGAACTCCACTGCCATTGAGTCTACTCTCAACTACAGTGGCCCTCTAAGGCAGAGAAGAATTCTCTATAGATTTCCAAGGCTGTGAATCCTTATGGGAACATCTTTTTCCCGAGGAGTGGGTAGTAGGTTTGAACTGCTGACTCTGCAGTTAGCAGTCCAGCTTATAACCCACTATACCATAAGTCTCCTTTTAATCATAAAAAAATTAACATAAAATAATTTGAACTTACCCAAATGAGTAGACAGGGCTAGGTTTCCTCATCATTACCCAGTAACTTATTAAACATGTCATTAAACTATGAAAAAGGAAAATAAATTTAGCGTTAAAACTAGAAAACATCCAGAGAGAAAGCAGGTTTTCAGAATTCCTAAAACACTGAAAATTATCAAGGTTTTATAAGCTCATTAATATACTAAATGTCTATTATAAACCATAACTGAATCACAAGCATGTTAGCAGATGGTGTTACTTGTAAGATGACAGCTTAACTTGGGAAGAAACTAAAAACAGTGTGGACACATCTTTAAGTCCATTATGGAATCTATTCATTCCCTACTCAAGCAGTAAGTTATCCACCCTCAATGATCTTCGTAACTGAGGAAGCTGGAAAAAAAACCCTACATAGTTAAACACAGTAACATCTTTTACTCTGCACATATAATACATTTTAACTTTTTTAAGCCTTAATCTTTATTAGAAGTTAAGCCAAATGTTGATATCCCTTGATTCTAGATGGGATAAAATTATGTTCATTTTCTTTCTAAATAAAGGAGAAATTTACTCTAAAACAATCTGCTGCAGAAGGACATTGGGCCTCCACTCAAGTACTCCCTCAACACAAGAATACTTTCTTCTATTAAATTGGCATTCTATGATGCTCACCTTCCCGAC